TGTCTTAGCGCGTCTACCCTGCATGTTCAATGTGCTTTATGCCTCTTTCCGTATATGGGAAAGCAGACAGACGGGCCGTAGCTTCAGGCTACAAATTCGTATCTTTTTCCTTCGTTCCTAATTCAGCTCATGTGTTGCTGTTAGGATTCCTGTAGCGATATACCTTACCAGATCAATAGTGCACCACTAGTAGTACCCTTGTCCTACTAATGCCAAAAGATTTCTGTGCAGCGTGGCCAGTACAATCCTAATTCAGCGACGAGCTAGTACATGCATCTATTTTGGGCGTGTTGCAGGGCCGCACTACGAGTCAGTACTAGGAAGGGGTGTGAGCATATAGTGATTTGTTGGTAGGAAGGTCGCAGCCAATACCGGCGGGAAGCTTACGGCGGACCTGCTCGTCCTGGCGGGGCCCGGATTTCACCATATAGCATTAGGCTTTGCATATACGAGTGTATCGCTAGCTACATATGTAGTTTCAGTGTGAGCAAGCTGGCGGCACACCTCAAACTGTCTACCAGGTTTTATGTACATGCTGTTTACAGATGAAATGGGATTTAGGTGCACTGGTTAAGCTAACGACCGATTATGCCCAATAATGGTGTATTTTGTAATTAAACAATTTAATGCTAATAATAACAGTAGTAATAACAATGACAAGCTCATTCTTCAATAACCAGTCAGCGTCGAACACACTGTGAAAACACGTATGCGTACAGCATCTGTGTACGAAAGCGCTTTGGTTTTTTTCCCTGTCTCCATTTAGGCCTTTGATTCTAGCAGGCGTGCGGTCCCTATTAAATGTAATGATAGCATATGTTTCTATCCATGCAGTTTCTACCGGTTTGGGTAGTCTTAGGAGAGATTGACTTGGACCAGCTAGCCTGACTAGCTGGTCTAGCTATACTGTACTCTATGCATGCAGGCAGATGATACAGCGCGCACTCGAAGAGCTTCTATTCTCTGCCCCCCCCCCCCCCCCCCCAGGGTTAATTGTGGGTCTGTCAGCACTAACTCTATCAAGCAAAAGACACATAAACGAATTGTGCGCTTGCAACGGACCAATTGCAATTAGTCTTTCACTGCCAAATTGACAATTAATATCAAAGTGCTTTTAGTGCGTGTCTCGTTGGTCATAACTATTTTTTCTCGTAGCAGACGATCATGGGAAAGAACTGATTACTATGGCGGGAGACGGGATTCTGTGAGATTGCATTTATTGCGCACATTTATAGCGCATACAACTATTAAAAGAAATGAGTTCCACATTTAGCGTCGTCGCGTAGTACGTATAAACGACATTATCACCTCTCACAGCTAGAAGATGACGACGACCATGACAACGAAGCGTCAAGGAGATGCGGCTGAGGAATACCTCGTAGAGCGAATGAGGGATCAGGGAAGACAGAGGTGGGGAGAGAGAAGAAAAAAAGGAAAAGAAAAAGAAAGAGTTAAGAGCGATTCTAGTGCCTGTGCAGTGTACACACTGTGATAGTACCGTAATCCGGTCTATGCAACTGTATCGTACTACGCTATACAGTTGTGCTGCAGCAGTTTTAGCTGCGTTTGTAACTGTTTACGTAGCATCATTACGCTGCAGTGGCTAGCAGTACCAGTGACACTAATTATCTTCAAATGTTCACATTTCTAACCAGCGTGTTAGCGAAATTAAGAGCTGTCTCAGAATGTTGGGTTGGGCCTTCGCGACCATCGTGCTGTGTCGCTGCTGTGGCACGGTGACACAGGTCTGCTGATAGGGTGTGGACCCGCACCACCGTGCGGCAGCTTCCGCGGCAGATTCGAGAGCTGATCTAGTTTGGTGTTGTTTCGACGGCTAGCGTCAGAGCCAGTACACCGGCGTTTAGCTGAGAAAGTGCACGGTGCTAGCGTAGCGATGGTTGTGTGAATAGGTCATAGGTCAGATCGGGGAAAGACTCAACCGCTATTTGTTGAGCACAAGGGTGAAAAACGAAAAAGAAAATGACGCACAACCAGGAGATATAATTGTATATATAGACAATGACGTGTGGATCCGGGTTACATCTTACTGCCCCTAGAGTTTGCGGCACTTCGCTGGATCCTTGCACAGGCCTAAATTGCAAAGACGAGGACCCTTCGTGCGACTCGCACGACTTGTGACTTGTGTCATCTGACATCATATTATCATTGCATCATTCACCTAATGATGTTATGTAATTTTTTTTTTAAAAATGTCTCCGAAGACTCTATGAAATAATCAAAATTGCTGCATCAGCCGTTCTTCAGCACCGTTTCTCTCTCACTTATCATTGTAACCAAGCATCAATCGTTTGCTTTAATCGACGATAACTACGACAGCCGGTAGCCTGAAGCATCAACACGATAAATAGCATTTGGTTGAGCCAATGATAACAATGACTCACTGTGACACGATTCTGCGTATCTTATCACTGCTTGTTGTCCTCTTTACGATCTGTTTTTCGCGATGCTCAGAGACTGTTTAGACTAGAAGTCTAAAACTTAGTCAGAGCCGACCGCTTTCAAAGGAGGTGTTGCAAGCATCATGTCCGATCCTTCATCTCGACAAATCCAATTTTTGGCCTCAGGACAACAATGGCTGTAGCAACAACAACAACAACGACGACGACGACGGCGGCGGCGGCGGCGGCGGTAACGACGCAATAACAACAGTGGCAGCCAAACGCGGCATTAACAAAGCAGTATCAATGGCAGCATGACAACAACGCGAGGAACAGCTAGACAGAAAGGAAAGATTTCCAGGGACAAAATGTTGGTAGGAAATAGACTATGGTCTTATTGACGTCTTCCCTACGTGGATCAGCATATCAGCTCGTTTCGACCTTCCAGTCGAAGCAACGGTAGCGGTTAACAGCGAACATTGTAGTTACGGTGCGCCTATTCAATGTTCGCTGCTTGCGAACAATAGACAATACCCAAAACAGGTAGTGCTAAAGATATCAGTCGGCTATGGGTCTACGAATGAGCTGGGAGATGATTTTTGTGTCCGAATGCTTATTAAGATAGGGAGCCAGCAGGGACGAGACGGCAGCGTAATGGACACGTATGGAAGCTCTTCGGAAAACTCATGCGGATTCTGTGTTTTATGAGGTCTGTCTCATTTTTTGTCCACGACGAAAAATGCCAAGAATTATGCATGTCAAGCAATTATCAGGGTGGGAAAAAACGAACGGGATATATATAGAAGTTAAAATAGAGGGAGTGTTGACTGTCGACAACCTTTAATGGCCGTACTCGAATGTATATATTTTTGGGCTTGCCACATTGAGGTTTTTGACCGTCTATATACCAAGCGATTAATTTTAAATGAAACCTGCCGCGTATTTAGCTGTATATATTTAATTATCTTTGATCGTTGCCTTTTTTGGCTAAAAACCCGAAATGGTCTTCGTTTTCGTCCTGTACTCTGACGCAATCATCCGCTAGACAATAAATGGTACGGGTTTCTATGAGCAGTTGCTGCGGCAACATACAGTGCCCACATCATAGTGTGACGCTACAGCTTATGTTTTCTACGAAATGGCTTTCTACGATTCTTCGAGTTTCTACGAGTTAGCTTCGAGACGTTACACCCGCTGTAATTTTATTAGCGAAGGCATTGCAACTGGGGGCAAGGTCTCATGTGGACGAGTAGCCGAACCGTAGCAAACAGCTACTCGTGGAAGCCCCTGCATTGGTAGGAATTTACTCTCCAGGAGGTTAGACCACCTCTTTTTTAATCGTCCCTTTAATAGCATGTAATGTGACCAGTATGCTCTGCGTGGCGTACTAACGTGAATTTCCTGAATTAATCCCAGCCGTCATTGTCAAAGGTGAATTTATGCGATCTGATTGAGGAAACGACCCCTTCCCCCTACGTTTGACCACGGCGCGAATATAGAGTGCGTTTAGTGAGCGCCCGTTTATCGTTTGTCGATAGTTGCCGAATGGAGTAAAACGACTTTCTTGCCAACCTGAATTTCTCCTGGCTCCCTTCTCAATCCAATATCAATTCTATACACCTATCGGTGATGTTTGTACAGCAGGAAGGTCCAGCTATCATATCCGTACCTAAAATGCTTAACACTCCGTAGTTTTTGATAACTAATGAAATTGTTTCTGATAGGAAAACATGCCAGTAGTTAAATACTAGTGAGAAGCAGCTTTATTGCATGAGCCGTATTTTGATTGTGGGTCATTGGCATTACTGAACCTTCTGGGCCACTATGTGGCAAGCATAGAAGCCGTGAGGGGCAATAAAGTTGGTTTTTCGAGTGATTTTCAATTAAATGCGGGTTCAGTGAAGGAAAACTTAAGATATTGACCCATGGAAGACCTCTACGAAGACCGACTCAGCTAACCATTAACAACTGGCAAATGCATCCTTGGCTTCAGGCTAATTGTACCTCAGTTTTGATCTAAATTGGCTCGGGTTGGGATAACAGTTCCTGTGTCGCTACTGTTGCGTGTTGTATAACAGATTTAGATTATCAAGCCTTGATTTTGCTGTGTATATACTATAGATATGCTGGATATAGAGATAAGCCCAATTATGAAGACTGGAATACTGCACGATTCGACATCAGTTGCTACAGGACCCTATACACACACACACACACTCACGCATCTTAACAATGCTGACGCAACCTTTTGTCGGACGGATTGAACAGCCTATATTTTTTGTAGAGTAAAAAACTATATGCAGTGTTCTTGGCTTCGTTATTGCCAATGTCGTGTTCACTGAGGTGCCTTGCACTTAAATAGAGACTCTTAAAAAAAAATGTTTAAAAAATAGTTTTTAAATAGAAATATGAATCAAGTACATCATCCACCTGAAAATAGCTGAGAAACATTCTCGGGGCCTTCTTGTCCAAGATTGTTGATATTGGCTCATTTAGCTTGCTTTGGCTATCAGTAGTAGGCGTGTATATGCAGCTGAACCTCAAGGACAGACGATAAAATGTTAAATAGTAATAAGATGTGTTTGTTGTCTCTGGTTTCAGGGCGATGCCTATCAGTACCGGGTTGGTGTTTTGTGACAGCGCCTAGTGTGGTGGTCCAGGACTCCTTCCGATGACCATCATTAGGTACAGAAGCACTTCCAATCACGTTTCCTTTTTGCCTAAGAACGAGGCAAATACAAAGGAAAGGCAATCCACCGGGACGCTGCGGAAGCCCAAATCAATTTTGCCACAACCGACACCATCTTGAGGTGCCATTACGGGCATCGTGACTCTCGAACAGAAGCTATTTCCTCAAGCAACGGGATTGCTGTACATAATTTTGGTAGGAGGCTCAGAGAAGCGAAATTCTATTAGGGTCACAAACAGAGGTCACGCTGCAAAGAAAAACGACGGGACGTAAGCTAGCCTCGAGCAGACGTCAGAAAGCTATCGGCGGGAACAAAAAAACAAAGCAGAATTCACCTACAGATGGCTGCAGGCCCAGCAGAAGGCTAAACTGAGCGACGTTTAGCCGTAACTGCAACGACTGGAACTACAAAGTAGCTTTAACTATTATTCGACAATATGTATGTAACAGCACAAAACAATAATATTAATTACAGTAATTAACGAGAAGATCAATAGTAGTACTACTAAAAAGTTCTACCCTGGTTACAACAAGCGTGACCGGGAGTGTGTATAGAGAAAGTAAACTTGCAACGGCGAAATCGAGCGCAGAGACGCCGGAAATCCAAAGCCAGCAAGTGCATTTATCATTATCAACAGCAGTAGCATACGACGGGCATAGAGGTCGTAGCGGCAAAAAAAAAAAGAGGGGCAGCTTAAAAGACAGCTGGGTCATGCGTTGAAAAGTTGATACTCATGTTACGTAATCTAGATCTTTTCCGTTGAAGCGAGCTCCAAGAAGCTGAGGCCTGATGACACAATAATTGTTGAAAAGCAAGCCGTTTGGAGAATTCGTTTGCATAGAGGAAAGAAAAACTACCCTGTTTATAGCCTAAACTTTCACGGAGCCAATTTTCAGACCACTGAAGACAACAAGCAAAATCGTTTATTATTAGCTAGCGTTGAAAGTACTATTTCAGCAACACTTAGACAAGTCACTGTCCATACTTCACTTGACGTAGAAATCTAATAATACATTGATCAGGAATTACTGTGTGCGCGGAAATTACGAAGGATTCAAATACCCTGTTTCTGGCGAGGAAACGTGAAACGGAAAGAAGAAAAGGCCACGGGAACGAATCGGTTTGACCCATAGATGAGCGCACTGCTAATGAAATTACAGTTAAGATCCGAGTCTGGAGTCCCGTCATGAAGCTAGCGGTCAAACGGAACGCGCCAGTTATAACAGGAGAACGCTATTTAACATTACCCGCTTATAACTGTCCCTTGACGTGTGAGAGTGGTGTGCAGTTCGTATGTCGTTATAGTCAGTGTAGATCTGGATTACGGTGGTGCGGTGTCCAATTCGTCCGGGGCGATGCCGGTTACTGCCGCACATCGGAGAAGGCTCTAGGAGACAACGGGAAGGTCTACTGCGTGAAATTTTGAACACGCTTTGAGAATTCGAAGAACTGCTGTCTGCCTGGATTCCGTCGAACATAGAAAGCGTAGAATCGAGTACGGAAGCGAAGCTACGCAAAAGGAAGCTCGCTGTACGAGCTTCTCAGCTTGGAATCGCGTCATTCAGAAGAGGATTCGCGCAATCATACTCCACCCCTTTCCCTGAAGTAAACCAGGGCTCGGTTTCCTTAAAAGAGCATCTTGTCTGAGAGAGACTTAGCAGCAACTGCTACTCAACTGTATGATCGCCAGCACTGGCCGAAAGAGGAAAACCAACTGACAGAAAGTACAACGAGCGACCAATTCGTTCTGCCGTTACTACAACAATTAGACGGCATTCGTAGCGCTACTGCTGAGAATTGCACAAGCACATGACAACGGAGTGGTATCGCCGCCATTACGAAAATTGTGTTCCGCGCAACTTTCCTTTGGAAAAGGAAACCAATGTGCCGAAGAAGAGAACAACAATAGTGTGAAGCAAGAGCGGCACGCAACTTGTGGATAGCGGTCTAGCAGTTATCGTGCACAAACATCAGTAGAAAAAGCATTGTTATTATTATTGCCTAGTGCGTTATTGGAGGTGGTGAGTTCGCGCGCGGTTGGTTTACGCACCAAAAATTTATTTTCCAAGAAACAAGCCGAATCAACCAGTTCAACAGGAGAATCATAAGCGTTCCACGTGGGAGATAACAAGAGAAAAACTGTAATATCGCGGTAGGTCATTAAGCTCGTCGATCTCAACAGAGGTGAGGGACAATTCTGACGACGTTTTTTCTTCAGCAATCTCGTCCTCATTGTGCCCTTCACCGTCGTTATTTTAATTACAGTTTCATACTGGTGAACTTGTTGTGGCTGTCGCGATGAGCGCGGTGCCCGGTATCGTGCGGGCGGCGCCCGCGCCGCCCCCGCTACCGACGGTTTCTGAGTCCGAGCCACCGATCCATGCTGCCCCTGTGTCCACATGTGGAGTAAGTGGGACTCGGGAGGTGTTATCAGGCGGAGGCGGTGCAGTCTCAACCGGGGGCGGAACTGGAGCAGGCGGTCGCACCTCCGGATCCGGCCGATCCGGATCAACACAACCGAGATCGGATGAGCCACATATTGGGAGGTACCGCCTGCTCAAAACGATTGGCAAGGGCAACTTCGCGAAGGTGAGTGCAACGATAAGAACAACTTGATATTTAGCTTGAAGTAATTTAACACGTAATTATATTCAATCAGGCATAACATTTAGGCTGTACGACGTTTAGCTTTCGCTTTTGAATGAAACCGGTTACACAGCTGGCAGCAGAATTTTTATTTTTATATAAAGCAAATATTAAATTAACATTAAACTTATTCACAATAACCAGTGTAACTTAGATAGTGGGTTTATGAAATCAAGATTAGTTAATGGTAACCAAAAAGTGAAAAATTTTACTTTCAGATGAAACAATGACAAGCTTTAAATCTAGTGATGGCATAAATGGATTTACAACTCATTCAAATTTTAGCGCCTAGCTAGGTGTGTACGTTTGGCAGTTTCGGATTATCACGCCAGGTCTAAAAAAGGGCTTCTTTCTCCTAAACGTAAAGCGTTCGCTGTTCGGTAATCAAGTAGGAAATGGCATTTCTACCAATCTAAGTAGCTCTTCACGCTAACAATGTTTTACCTTATGGCAACATTGATGTTCTAGGCAGGTGTTACATAACACAGTAGCTGAATCGTGAACTCTATCTATGCGAGTCGGTAAGAATCTAGTGTAAAACAGTCCGTGTCGTTACCTGCGACAGAGACAGCAACCTTCTCTTTGCTCCGCCAAAAAGCTCGACATCTGCAGTAGGTATAACTTTACGTTGAGTCTGAGCAGAGAAGCAATAACCGGAGCTGTTTCTACAGCAGTTCGTAAACTACTGCTGAACCGGTCATGTTCTGGCACCCGTCATTGGGTACACTGGACAAGTTCCACTAGTATGTATAACGTCCAACGGCTTTATGGGTTAATGACAATAATACAGTGCTAACATATAAACGGAGGCGAGTGTTGGGCCTTCTGGAAGGTTGAAGTGGACAAAAAGACGATCGTCCTTTTGTTCGAAATCGATTCCAATCTGTTGTATGGCTTTACAAGTCCCCCTATCTAATTAATGCAAAGTATAGAAATCAACTCCTATGAGGAGCATGTAGCTAGGTCCAGTTAAGCTTGGAGCCCTGATGTCTCAGAAAACACGAATCATTTTGCAAATTCCATTGAGCACTACGAGTATATATATCTGTCTGTATATATATATACATATAATAACATTTACACCCTGACATAATGTGCGCTAAAGAGTCATATAAGGCTTGAGTCAGTCCACTTGACACCTCAGAACCACTGTTCAATTATTGCTCTGGACTCGTAAAGTCACCTGTTTCAGAACTTTTACATATTGAGTGTTCGTTATATATGTTTTCCTACGTTTTCCTAAACAATTTTTTATGGTCTGCTGCGAACGCGAAGTGGTTCTATGTTTTTTGGCTATGTGTAAAAGGTGTGCTTAGCCAAAGGCTTCTTAAGCACACTTTTTATGTAACACAACTATCCCTAGTTCTGTGCGTACTTAGTATTGTGGTAGTGTACGTATTATAGGTAAATACTTATAAAGAATGGCAGTACAAGTTATCCAGCTCATATAACTATATGTACGTAATATATACTGGTATGAATCCTACAAGCCTGTGGCATAATTACAGAGTCAATATCGGTCTTATCGCCGTCTAGGCGACTCGTATCGCAGTATTATACTCCTGCTGTGAGCGCTGAGTTGATTGTGATTGTGAGTGTTTTTCTTTATCTTCCTAACGTTCCCACGGCTTCGCCTCTGCCGCAACCGCCACCTTAGCCCTAGCCGTGTAACGACTGTATGTATATAACGACAGATCTAGTGAGCAGCAAAGCGCAGTGCCCGTTCTGCAATTGGCCCCAGTCTGTCTTGAAGCCTATAGCTTCGACTTAAACACTTGGGAATCAAATCGGTAATCGTAGCTACTGGCTAAAATCCCGGACTAGATCCTTTTTTTATTCTTGTTGAAACTGATCACGTAAAGTATGTCAATAATAGATAGTATATATAAGCATAGTGCAGTGTCTAAATCTGAGTTGACTTTGGAGAGCTCTGTGGTAGAGCTTCTAGCACCACACAAGAGCCAATTTTGTTTTTATATAAAGCAATAAACTCGTCATAACAATGAACAGTCAGTCGTTTTGAAAATTTGAGCTAAGACTAGCTATCATCGAAAATTGCCAATCGAGACGTCAACATGGCTCGGATGATAGGCATTTTTTTTTTGAGATTTTTGCGCCTTTTCCATCTTTTGGACTTTTTGTCAATTTTGACCCCACTTTGAACTGCTAACAGGCCAAAATTTAATTCTGCTGAAATTATTCTTGTGTAGCGTTTCAGTAGCTACGATTGTTAGGAATTTTCTTAGGAATTGTTGGGAAAAATTTGGCTGAAGTATAGGTGCAAGTTTTAGGGACAACGTGTAAAAAGTATCAATCTAGCTACTGTACATTGTGCGTACATGTATTTGTGTCTGTTTATTCGTCTATCTGTCTGATACAAGTTAACCTCTTAAAATGGTCGGATTTCTTGCGGGTCTTGTCCTTTCCGGCGTTCCATTGAGTGTATTGTTAAGCAAATGGGTTACCTTTTTGCGGTTTTCATTCTTTTTGTTTTTTTTTCTTGGAAGTAGTCTTCTGTGTATGTTATAGTCTTTTACCTGAATGTGTTTAATATCAAAACAGGCGCGGGGCCCGTCAAATGTCCACACCGTACGGTTGTACCCGTTAATCTAATATCGTACCATATCGGTTTGCCTCTGTAAATGTGGGGCGAAATAAATGTGTTTCGAGCGTGCTTTTGTCGGTTGAATCTCAGTCTCACCTGAAAGATTGGAACAGTTAATGTGGAGCCTATTTTTGTCAAACAAAAATTAACTCAGAACAACACACCAGAACATCATAAGGAGTAGGTATACATTTGCTACAGAAAACTTTAAAACTATAAAAAATTTCGTACACTATTGTATCAGGAACGATGTCGACCTTTATTCAGTATCGTGTGTGAAAAAAGTCTTAACGTCATTCTAGGAGCAGAGTCGATAGGCTCGTTCACGGCCACACGATTTTTCTACGTCCCTCGGGGGTCGGCTGATTGACCTTGTTTACCTGTGTACCGTAAATAAGGTCAGTCAGCCAACACCAAACAAGAAGCGTGATCTCGTAAAATTCCTTCCAAAACTCAACCTACAATAAATCTAGAGTTGGCTAAATCTTCTGATGAACGTATTAGAAGAGACTACAGAGATGACCACAAAAAGGTAACGGGTTAGATGAGATTGGGTAATTGCAACGGAATAGCTGTTGCTTCATCTCATGGCTTACGTTAAGCTAGGTATAATATTAATGAGTCAATTAGATAAACCGATGAGGAAACAGGCGTTGGGCGAAGTGCCGGGTATATCTGATGGGTTACTATGGTTGCTATTGTTTTCTTATTATCTATCGTCCGTTCCAAATGTCTTTTTGCTTGTATTTCTCATGCCCCTACTTGGGATTGAGAGAAGAGATACAAAGACGCACGACTGTCAGCTGTTAAGTACGTTTGATGGATTATTAGAAAATGTACGCCTTCCATCAAGTCATTTCCGCGTTAGCACGCAAGAGTTCCATGAAACAGCCGGTCGAGCTGGACAAACGGACCTGTTGATAATTAGACCGAGAAGAAATAATGATAAACACGAGAAATTATTCGATGGCTTCGGTAGAACGCAGTAGAGGTATCACAACGATATAGGTGGTCATTGCTTTACTAGTATGGTGGTAGCCCATGCGTGACCCTGCTAGGTATCTTATTAAGCTCATAATATTAAAGTAAATCTAGTAAATCATTAGATACATTCAGTGACGGCACGGGACGAGGCTGTTGTGGCAAAATAGAACATTATTTAATTTGTAGAGAAGTTAGGAGAATCCACGTACGAACAGAAGTAAATGATGTTTGATCCTATCCAACAAGCTGAGTACCGTTTTATTGTGCTATACTAGACTTGTCTCATACAGTTACTAAGTATCTAATGATCATACGCACATACGTACATCGGGAATTCGACATTCAAACAGTCCGAGGGTAAACTTCATACATAAATAATATACACAGCGATATACAGTCTCTTATACGTAGAAACTACTCTTAACTTCTATTCGTTAGTCCAGCTCGGACCATCAGCAATCGACGTCTGACACGTTTGTCTCTATCTCAAAAAGAGACAAACAGCTCGTGCTCGATCTTCATTACTGCACCTACGCCACTATAAAGCACGTTGCGTCGTGCACTGGGCAGTAATCACCTTCAACGGATGGAAACTGCATCGCCACCAGTTTGGCCGGCGTTTTTAGCCCAGCTTCGATGATCAAGCGTTACTTTAGTCTGACTCTGACCGGTCGCCAAGACCGGACAGAGAACACAAGGTTGTGTAGATTTAGGCTAGCGTTGACTAGTGCGTTCATAATAGGTCTCATGCCGCATCGATGAGTACGCCTGCTGCTAGCGGTTCATGGCGCTAGCAGCCACCCCTGTGAAGCTTCAGTCGGCAATAGTAACGCGCAGCAGTTCGTGTCGCTAGAGGATACAGGGCTGGCCAGACATCAACACCTGTTTTGCCCTTAGTCGTATTTCTCCTCTGTAGTATCTAGGTAATCGGATGGTCACAAGGGCTTTGGTTTCGAAGATTCGATAGCGGAGTTGACTGACCGTACCGATTCCTTTGTTCTTTATCTGTTCATAAAATGTTAAGGCAAAATGGTTGAATTTTTTTCGGTTTACTGGATGGTTCAGAAGTAGGTACTAGTATAAAGGTAAATGATGAGGAAGTGATAAGTGGCCGTTTCACGTTGCCAGTCGAAAAAAGTAGCATTGACTCCTTTCAGTACGTCTAATGTTGACTGATGGATGTACGTTGATAGTAGTGGGCAATTCGTTAGAGACACATGATAGTTCATTACGTAATAATAATTCGTGTTTATATTGCGTACTACTATGTGTTTTCCGGTTCACTCACGGTTGATTCATTGCTATTCTGTCATCCTAAAGCATTTCTTATTAATGATAATAGTGATTAGATTAA